AGTACACCCATAAGAACAAATAATGGTGATATAAATATCCCAAGGCATTCTTGATGCGTATCACGATGCGATACAGATAAATGCGTTGGTACGTTACAGAAAGAAAGGAAAAGAAAGGAATTCTTATCGGTGGAAACGAGTCCCAACACGCAATCGTACGTGGCAAAGTCGAATGCACTATGTTAGAGAGATGCAGCAGCGGTTACGTGTCCGACCCACGTATTATGTATCTCGAACAGGAAGTAGAAAAGATAAGACAACTCGAGGTCATTAATAACCCCACCCCCGCGTTCCATTCGCATCTGGAGCTTGCTCTGCCTACTTGCGCTTCTCCATTCAATTCGTCGTTTATTCGTAAATAATTTGGCAATTCATTTTCAAGTTTATTTCGTGGAATACGATTCTTTCAATTTTATCTTTTGCTGTCTATTCTGATATTTATTTTTGATATCTATATCTAGTAATCGTAAGCGGAAATTTCATCTTTAATTTATCTAACTGTATTCACGATTGTCGAAATATCATCGCATCTATTAAAGTTCAATCTATCAAAATAGCTATTTTCTTCTTTGACTTTTCTCAAATTATATTTTACATATCTTATTGAATTGTGACATAGAAATCAATCTGTACGAAAGAATAGAAAAAAATTTTAATTCTCGTAATTTATTCGGTATTTTTAAAAATTATAAACTATTTAATTTTATAATAATCAATAGAAAACGAGACAGAAGGGTAATTGATTAAACCACAGTCTTAATCCTAATCAAAATTTCTCTTGAAAAAATTTTAATTTCCATGATTCGTTTAATCAAAATTTTAGAAAATTACCCATAATTTATTAGAATATTCACTCAAATAGAATGCTTATTCTAACCTCACGAAACATTTAATACTAATCTATATTTCGAAACAAATCTTCTCTAGATCGAATTACACGCGATTTACATTTTGCCGAGATTCATTTCCTCTCTTTCCGCGCGGCAACCTTTTCAATCGAAATTGAAAAGAGGGAGAGTGATAAAAAAGAATAATGGCGATCGAAGCATCGCGATGATGGCCGCGTATTGTCAGCGCTATTCGATAAATCGAATAGATCATATAGAAGCTTGAATCGCATTGCGTATCAAATTCGCGACCGGAAATCATACAATGTCCACGTAATGAAAGATAATTGAAATCAAAACAGAATCAATACAGGATATTTCGTCTCGTTGTCGTGGAAGCAACGTAAAAAATCCTGTTACGTAGATAAAAAGCATTGCGAAAGTTTTTATGACTTTTCCTATTTTTTTCTCCCATTTTTTGTTCTCTTTATTTTTCATTTATTTTTATATCCTTTATTTTACATTTCCATCAGAAATAGTCACATAAATATCTATTAAAAAAAAAAAAGTTACAATTAGAAACAAAATTATACCGATGCAACGTAATTTCTTTTTAAAAAAGTAATTTTGAAATATAATAGATGTCAATTTTAAAAAATTTGATAAATCTATTTAGATTTAACTTCGTGTATTTATCATATTTAGAATGAAATTTCCATGTATGTTTTCTTTTCTTTCTTTTTTTTTTGATAATTAATATACAATAGAATATTTTGTTATGTCCATTTTGAATTTAACCGAGAGAACAGAGGATGTTTTTACTTTATTGTCGATTTTTATATTTTATCGTTTTATATTAAAATTGAATTACGTCGAGCATTGTATTTTATAAATAATAAACGATTGATATGTATAAGTAAATTTATTTTTCATTTAGATGTTTTTCGCTTTTTATTTATCGTGAAATATTTATATCTTTTTAAAATGTTTTCATTTTTTAAATAATAAATGAAATATTTGGATACATCTATTTTTTCATATATTTCGCATTTTATTATACATCACGTTGAAATAATTTTACTATAAAATTTTATAAAATCCTAATATTTTCTTTTTAAACAATGACCAATATTTAAATATTAAATAAAAATTATATAATGCAATTCAACGATCGAACAACATTATAATTATAGTTATAATGTGTGCATGTTAATCGCTGCATTTTTAATTTTAACATATCATTAATGCAGTACGTTATTTAATATGTATTTTAAAAATTAAATTTTCCCTATAAATTATTCTCATAAGCTTCTCATTATATCCAAAGAAAAATATCATATTATGAAAATCATGCTATTAGAAAACAAAACAAATGAAATATATTAAAATATTTATAAATAAAAATGATATTTAAGAATTAATAATTAAGAAAAAATTGATTAATTTTAATCTTTTCTTTTCTTTTCCGATATAAAATTCCTTTCTTTGTTAATTAATAAGACCTAATTAATAAGGCTCTATAAAATAAAGAGCAGAAAACCTATTTTAATAATTAATTTATCATTATTTGTTAATACGATCTACGTTCAAAATGCGCTTATTTATCTAACATTTTCGATAATCTTAATTAGAAACGCAAGTCTCAAACGAAACTCGTTAACATCTACCCAAAAACAAAGTACATGGCTGTTCATTTTCTATATCACTGATTTCCGTAATTAGTTCCTTTGCAAACTAAAGTTCTCGTATTCTCCTTCAAATATTGAGATAATTTGAAAAATATCAGTGAATCGAACGCAGAACTTCCGTCAATAAACTTGCTTTCAAACTTTTCAACCGAAACACGATAAACGTTTCTCATGATTATATTATTATCATTCTGGGGAATTTTAATCATGACATCAAACGTGATGAATGAAAATCTTTCACAGTACGAAAAATAATTTTGATCTGTAATTATTATATATATGTTATTATTATATCAAGATTTATTATATTTGAATCAATCCTTAGAGTGGAACACTCTCTATGTTTATTTTCAAGATGCTTTGCTCTGGAAACTAAAGCAAGATAAATAAAATCGAAAATTTGAATCTATCCTCGAATATGAAAATGAGAGAATTTTTTTCTCTATTAGTCTAATTGCTTTGAAAAATTTTTCGACGCTATTTCTTGGATACCATTCGAAAATTAATTTAAGAATTGATAAACAAATTGCATAGGAATTCTAATCGTATTTTTAAGAGAAAAAAAGATAAAAGAGAAATTCAAATTTATATTATCTATTAATGAATAATAATTACTACTCTATCTATTAATGAGTAAACTTTTTGAATGAATTTAGTCTTGAAAATTAATTATGGAAATTATCTCTTTGAATATAAACTTTAAATAATATAGAATTTAATTTTTTTTGATTTTAACAATTTCAAAAATATCATATTCTCCACATTCATTTGATTCGTAAAATTTTTATTATTTAATTTGAAAAAATAAATTATAAAATGATAATAGATGAACCACAAAGAGATACGTTGAAATTATATTCAAATATTCAATAAAGAATTTGTTATAATATCAATAATTTGATTCCAACGAAACTCTACAATTGTGAAACCAACTTAAAAATGTTTTGCATCTGTAAATATAAAAACAGAAACAAAAAGATTATTTCTGTCTAAAAAGTTACAATAACTTGATATCATTTACTGCATTTAATTTCGCTGCGAATCACGAAGTTCATACTGTTCTTCGAACAAAATGTAACAAGCTGAAACTGTTATTATTTTTTATCTTTATCTCCAAAAAGAGAGGAAAAAATAGGGGGAGAGAGAGAGAGGAGGGGGGGAGAGAGAGAGAGAGAGAGAGAGAGAGAGAGAGAGAGAGAGAGAGAGAGAGAGAGAGAGAGAGAGAGA